TTAGGAATGACTTCAGGCTAAACTGTTCCAGAACGCTTTCTTTTTCTCCTCCATCACAGGTGCTGACCTCACAGGAACCTTAAACAGTTCTTCCTTCCTTGTAACTTCCTTATACTCAAATAAATACGGTGCACAAGGAATGTTTTGTATAATATGGGACACAGGACCTAGCACCACTGCAGGACTATAATGAACAGGAGACGGGTGAAAAAGAATGGTACAGATTCTAGGACGTGCTTTTTTTTCCCAGGAAATGAAATGCGTGTGTATTTAGATCGTCAGAGGTTAGATCCTGTTAATGGAACATCTGTTTCCACAGCTCTGACGGATTAACCCCCTTTCATGGGCATTATAAACACGATTCTTGCAAAAGCCACTAGTAGACGAATAATCATCCTGTAGGCCAGTGAAATCAAGCACAGCTCACATGTTGGGGGGGGCTGGAAGGAAACTAGATACAGACAGACTATTTAAATGTATTTTTTTTTATTGGGATATAAAATAAATTATCCTCCATACAAACAATGCATTTTGATTTAATCTGAAAGCCCTTACTTCAATAAGATAGACTTCCTCCCATTATCACTTAAAAGCAAAAAATATATATAGAGTAGAAGAGAGTTCTTTTTTTTAAATCTTTATATGAAACTGCTTCTCTTGATAAAGTGCATTTTTACTAACAATCCATCCCTTATATTGGGAAACATGAGAAAGAGTTGTAAATTCCTTTAACTTTTGGGAAGACCTCAGCCTGTTTGGTAACTATTTTGGAGCTATGAATGTGGGTTGCTAGACTATGAGTAGCAAATGCGAACCCCACTGTAGTTCTGTAGGTGTTTTCATCAATTTCAAGATGAACAAACTGCATCTACTAAACAGTGGTAAATCACCCTCTACTGCATCTACCCAGTATTGGTATTATTTTATTGATAAGTTACTGATAGATTAAATAAACTGTTGTCTTTAATCACTGAATTTTGCCTTCTTGCATTAGACATATTACACAAAAATGTCATTCAAACATCTGTCTGGTTATTTCCACAGTGCCAATGCCTCAATCTGAAAAAAAAAAAGTCTGTTGTCCGTTCTCAGTAGTTAATGCAATCTAGCTCAATGGAGCACCAAGAAACAGTCTCTACTGCACCCTAGTGGTCACACAGTGCTCAGTTCGTTTCTTCAGTGTCCTGTAATTCTGCTATGTACTGTGCTGTAAATACTAAACTACAAGTCAAATTCTTAATTTTTGAGAAGGCAAGTCCTCCAAAGCTAATGCAATACCCATTTGGGTCTATTAATATGACAGATTCTCCATCAACCAATGTATGCACAGTGGTATTCTTTAAAGACTAAATGATTGCAATCGCTTTCTCATAAATATCCTTTGCAGAAATCACACATCTCCTGAAAACATATCAATAACTGGAACTATCTACATGTGAAAGAGCTCAGATCAACAGTTGCTAAAAGGTGACAACTTTTAGCTCATCTATGAATACAGTGTAGCCATTTTAACCTGTTCAAAAGAACATCAAAGGCAGAACTCCAGGATTTCATTACTGCAGCATTGGGAATACTGGGTCATTTGGACCAGTTTAGCACTGATGTGTGATTATCAGAGTAAAAGAAGAGTAAAATGCAACAAAGACCCATCATGTCAAAGTAAAAGGATGGTAAGCAATAGGGAACTCTGGCAAAACATGATTCAGTCTGTTGGAAATCAAGGCAAATGCATGGTAAAGCTGTAAACAATTTTGCACATTTACCATGCTAGAATTTCATGCTGGAAACATCACAAGAAAAATGACCGTAACTGATCGTTCCAGTCTCATCTGGGTACAGAGGGTAAATCTACCACAGCACATGGCAGCATTGGGAGAAGGAGCTTCCTGGTTTTTAAGCTGTCACCCAACCTCAGGTGACTGAGGGCGGTACACCAGTTCTCATAGTATTCTGGGTGATGTAGTTCCAATAGGAACCGCCATCTTGTTTGGACCTGCCATTCCCTCACACCAGATAGATTTTTTTAATTACTCAGTAAGGCTTTCAAAGTTTAAAAAAAAAAAAAAGATGTGTAGCAGCCAAATGGGTACACACAACCATTATTATATATGGACATCTCGGACAATAGATTTTGCTTGAAACGTAGTACGTCAGTGCTTGATACTGTAAGTCCCTACTGTGCTCTGGTGATGAAACATTTCACTATGTTTAAGAACATATTGTACAGTGCTCTCCAGAACTATTGGAATGGCAAAGTTATTTTATTTCTGCTTAACAGTTCATTACTTTGCATTCATGGTCACAAGATTAATGTGATGGACAAGTACAATAAGATTTGTGTTTTGTTTGCGGGTAATTCCATGCATACATTTGATCACATTCAAACAATACGCAACCACAAATAGCTTCCAGAATAATCTAAAGTAATCATCATTCCCTGAGGCCTGCTGTTGACAAAGGTGCTAAAAGTGACCTTGCCTACTACACTAGATAGCGTTGTCACATTTATTTCAAAGTGGCAAGATGGGGCCAAGATAGAATCTCAAGACACTCGTTCAGCAAGTGAACCTTTTCTTATCATTCGTCTATCAGTTGTATCAAACATCTACAAGCATGCTTCTGAAAACTGAACAACATCACTACCAAAAACAGATGGCACATAGAAAAAATATGAAGATTTCTTTATCAATAGAATTTTGGGCTTCGATAATGTTCTTTAGTAACATACCTCTGCATCTCCCCTAAATGTGACTTGGGAGTTAGAAATGGACATTTAATTTAGAAATCGAAGCTCAAAGGTATATGAAACGAGGTCAAAAGTGTAACTACAGACAGTAGATATCTGAATCTGATCCCCCCTGGGTTCTTAGAAGAAACTGCTGGAGTGGATCCAGGGATCAGTTAGATGCTCACAATTTAAGAGGCTAGATGGGCTTTCTTACGCCCCAGGTGAAATATTGGGAGACAATTTCAATGTCATAACTGTGTATGTGAAATATTTACAGAACATTCTCATTGCTTTTTGAGACAAAATAACAGAACTTTGAGTCTATGATTCAAAAATGCCACCAAATCAACTTTTGTTAGCACAATGGCACAACGGCACTACAGAACACCCCCTCCCGGTGTTTTGTGAACCAATCATAATCAGGGTGGGCCACTATATTTCAGTAAACTGCTGTTAAGTCAACAGGGGATTTTTCTGATCTATGACAAAAGCACAGTGTGCTTTGATACGCATAAAGTGAACAAAGATAATCATGGAGCCTTAATAGCAAATACCTGTTTCACTTTATCATTCGAATCTTGTAAAAACGGTTGTAAACATCTCCACACCAATTGCGCCACATGCGTTTTCTCGGTTTTAGAAAAAATAAACCACACAATCCATCTGCCACTAGCTCCTCTTTCAGGCTAATAATTTACTGAGTGCAGATGTTCACCTCTGTGTCTTGAATTCTACAAGCTTTTACTGCTGAGCATAACAGAAACTGCACTGCTAGCTCTATCATCGGACTAAGACAGGCACTCACCGGCACACTGCCTTCCGACTGTGCCTTTGACACTCGCAAATCACCAGCAATTTTCCATGACTTTTAAGGCGCCTGCGTTACACGGCCATGATGTTTCCTGTCAGTGGCTGCATGAATGAGGTCATCACTACTCTGCAGACAAGGGACGATACGATTACTCCGTGTAAACCGAACCCGTTAAAGCATGGCAGACTAAGTAATGATTGCATTCACTGGATGCAGAATTAAAAACTGAAAAGGATAATACAGCTCCAAAAGATCATTTCGCAGTGGTCACCATTTCCCAACTGGACATCAGTCAGGGAGACACCCTGTGAGGCTGGACTGGCTGACCACAGGGGCTGCTAGTTTCTGTACACTCCAGAGAGAAGGGAAGGACAATCTGTGACGGACTTGGATGTTTCCCCAAGAACTCCAGGACTCCACCCCCTTGGGGACCAAAAATACAACCGGAGTAGCATCCTAAGTGACAACTGTCTGGAAACTAGAGAGTTTAACTTACTCCTGAGTTCCTCAGCTCCTTTTTAGGCTTAGCCCATTCTATAAAGAGGTAAGGGCATTGCAATTCAGTTCCTGTGAATTTTTCACTGTCATGCTCTAGTATCATTGCCTACCCACACACACACTACACTAATAGCGGTTGGAAGTTTTCAATGGTCTCAGTATTTGATGGGTGCAAAAAAAAGATGCAGATTGACTTCACTTTTCTTATAACTGTAGGATCCAGGCAGAGCCCACTGCTCTCACACTGCATCAAGAATCACTGTGTCCACTAGGATAAAATTCACATTTTTTGGTAATTAGGAACACATCCTTTCAATCAGCTGACATCATATTGACCTAATGTCACATAGGGCACCAAATTCCCCTGAATGCTACTTTGACACAGATGTATATTGAAGGATGAAGGATGTTAACATTCTTTAATGTATTCATGTCATGCAGAACATACTTCAATGACAAAATGTGTTCCACAGATTGAGTAAGAAACTGTCCTATACCCTTGTAGCAACCACCCATACAATAGTCCTGTTAAATGATGACGTGTCCATCTCTGGTGCAATATTGTTTCTATCCCATCAGCTTCACAGGGTTTTATGCCACAACGGGTTTCTGCTTTCCGAATCTTCATATGAGTATTATTTTAAATCTAACAGGGGAAAGAACCCTAACAATGTGACAGCAAGAAGGAAGGATGGCGTAAAAGGCAAGGTCAAAGTTAAACAAGAGAAGATTCACGGCACCAGCTGACACCGGACACTTTCAGAAGCCACTGGCTCTTGCCGTTTTCCCATCCTGTTGTGTCAAACAGCCCCACAGTGGAAAAGAAAAAAAACAGCCGTGAGAAAGGCGAAGCTGGCCGAGACTCCAATATAAAAGCATGCCCAGCGCGGGTGACCAAGCGTTTACAGTAGCTGCGCAGATGAGCGAAAGAGCAAAGCCAAAGCATGCAGTCAGCTTAGTTACCGAGCTCTCTCCTCCCATGGCAGACAGGACCTTTTGCCTCCATTTTTCCTTGCCTGAACCTCCATTCTCCTCCTCTTTGCTAGGCTGCAACATACATATAAAATATTGACAATCAATTACTTGAGTTGCAGTGTGACAGGCTGGTTAAAAGCCCACTGGCAGCGCAGTGTCACACTGCAACAATACATCACTTCATGACACTTTTTACGCTGCTGGTTAAAATGCCGCATTCTGGGGAAATGAGTATTAATATTGGAGAGCGAAATGCTGAACATCAAAAGAAACATCAATAAGAACTGCGACAGGTTAACTGGAAAATGACAAAACCTTCTTTGTGTAGAGGGTGCACAAAAAACATTTTATTGATAATTTATTAACCAGACATGACATTTATTAGATTGATTTACATTTGCCACCAAGGGGTTGAACCATAAGAGGTGTCCTGTGAAAGTGATTAGCTAGAAATGTTTGTGACCACCACTTTACACCCAGGTGCTGATGCTGTTTAGTTGGGTCCTGTCCCATTCTTTTCCGGAGAAGCACGTGTCTGATCACTGGGCACTAAGCCCTAAATGCCACACATCATCTCCCAGTCTGGTGAAGGGAGCATTCACTCATCATGTTCTCATCTAAAAAAAAGCCTCCTTTACATGAGCATTATAGTGGTATGCAGTGTCTGACTGCAGGATAGGCTACATGTGACATCCCAGGTCTTGATCCATATAAAGTAGTGCTGTGGAGTTACTGTACTAGGCTGCCATCAGTCATTAGCTACTAGACACCCCTAGCCAGATCCTCAAAACTGGAACGCTCTGTCAGTCTGGCCAAGGTGGGATGGCTCATGGCCTCACAGGTCACGCCTCTCATCTCAAATCTGAGCATTTGTTTCAGTTATACATAAAAGTACTCAATTGTTAAACGATCGAAGATGGCTTGGAGGTAGGGGTTTGTTATTATTGTTAGCCAACTGTCCGTTTTTAATCATATTATACGGGATTGAGTTCTGACGGAGAAACATTGTTAAATGTTGTTTTGTATCATGATAAAAGTACTGCTGCTGTATTGTACTATTTAACCTTTATTGCCCCCTTATGTTATACTCATACTGTATGTTATGAGCTTTTGTAGTGTAAGACAAATTCTCTTAAGGGTATTAAAGGTTAATTAGATTAATTAATTCAATTCAATCAAGTCTTCTTACTCTATTGAAGGCCAGATGCCACACAATCTTTCTTTTTACTTCTATTTTGTGTGTGAGATCCGTTAATTGTATAGCACTTTGTGTTACCCTGAAGTAATCATAGAAAAAAACTGGATGATGTCTTCAAGACATTTCATGTTAACATTTCTTCATACACAGCAAAAAAAAAACATTACTATTTAAGGAACCTTACGTAGAATATCTGAAAAATTAAACAAGCATTACATTCAGCTGGTGAGACACCAGTTTTCCCACAATCAGAAATGATCCATTCCTGAAAATGTGTGCCTTTCACTTCTGCGGCTGTTTGAAGCACACATCAGAGGTAATGGCTTAATCTCTAAATAAGGGCAGAAGAACTGGAGTTACTAACTATTCTAGGGTGTCCCAACATTTGGTCTTGAAGGAATATTGTGTGTTCTGTGTTTTGATCCAGCTCGGTTCTCAGTGACAGGAAAATTCTTTGGAGCATTTTTGGAAAACTGCTTTCAGTTCCTAAAAAGGTACAGTAAAACGTGGTTTGTGACAGGGATCACCGCCATACCAGTTTCAGAACTAGTAGAATCTGGCATCACGCAGGGATTATTCCATGATCAGGGCTGGATCACATGGAGAAATCATGAGCAAGTCTGTACATAGCTCACACAGAGATGGCCACTTCTCCAATTCTAACACAGTGTCATTTGCCAGACACTGATGGTCATTTACTTTTTGGGAAATACACATCTGAATCTTAGCGCACACTCGCTAATTACATCCAACTCACTGTAATTTTACATGTATGCAAAACCTTACTTTGAGACTGTAATTATATTGTAATTAATCTGTCATTTGTCTGCCATTGCTGAATCTTATCTACAGTAGAACACTTTGCACTGTCCAAGAGTATTGATTAGTCTATCTAATCAGATTCATATCATAATTCTGTGTATTGAAGAAGCCTTATGAGCTGCAAATCTTTTCCCTGATTGTGCAATGAACGGCAAAAGGCATCAGTACTGTACCTAATGAACACATCAAGAAAAGCACCCACCAGCTAGTGTACAGCACATGCACCGATGCACTGGGATACCTCAAGAAGATACTTATGAGGACCAGTGTTAGGACAACAGTCACTGATCTGGGAGGAGGTTGACCCCAGTAAATAAGAGATGGAAACTTGCAACTCTAAGAGATGATCAGGTTCCAGCACCACTACAAGTCACTTAATTACAGGACAGAGTTCAAGAAGGCAATGGGCGGGCAGCAAAGGCAATTAATTTTGATGGATGACCTGTACTAACTGTAATCACTTCGTTTACCAACGTGAAAAGTATATTGAGTGTTTTTTGTTATATGTCGGATGGTTTCAGTCCTCCATGTGTCAAGAACCCTGTATTTTTAATCCCAAAAAAATTCAGACTTAAAACCATTCTTCATAAAAAACAGAGCAATGCGAGTCAGAGGACATGAGGAAATTTAAAGTAGTATTTTGCACAGTATGGATGGGGGGCCTGGAGCTACTGTAGGTGCCCAGTCCTGCTCTTGAAGCAGAGATCCCGGTTTCTGTTAAGAAACAGCTGTATGAGATCCTTAGATCACATTGCTAGTTCTGCTGTATGTGAAACAAATGATCTAGTGAGCTAATGACCTCCCCAGTTGGTGCCTATTTACCTCAAATATTGTATTTCCTGTGTCTTAGCGTCTAGTTCTGATATTGCTTCTTTTAATGGCCTGGGCCTTCTTGTAATTTGGATTTTTTTTCCCTTTGCAGACTAAACCTCCTAGAGTCTAGAGTCCATCAACTTTCAATTTAATGGCCAAATAGTGCAGATGTTGATTACTGTTGATTCCTGGGATGAACAGTTTTCTCTGTTGCAAAAAAAAACATTTCTTGAATTTTTAGTATGTGAATTGCAACGTTTTCTTCCTGCATTGCTATTTTGAACTACTTTTGGCACTATTTTTCAAGATTCTTTACTGGTTTGTTGCATGTTTGCAGCACAAATGAGAACACTTCCACCCTCTTTTCTGTTGTTTATAGTTTTGACTATTATTTTTGATATCCCAGTCTCATCACTGCTGTAAGCACACCTCAAAATACTCATTAACAAGTTTTCATTTCCCTCTTGCTTTTACAGAAACTTGAGTCATTGAATTCGACAGAAACATTAAAAGGATTTAACTACTCCCTCTACTGGCATCTGGGGAAAAAAACACTCAAATATTTCAGTTCACAACGTGGCAGTGTTGTTCAGTCAAATTCCTATATTAATTAAAGAATCTGACAAAGATAAAGGGACAGCACGCTTAAAACTTTGGATTTCACTTGCCTGGCTGAGGAAATGACAGTGTTGCTCAGTGATCCCTTATGAGGAATGAACCAGGGAGACCTGCTGCGATGGTGATGTTTGGTTGTATTAGTGCTATGAGGATTCTGTTCAATAACATCACTGTCTCTCCTATTTTGTCACTCTCACTATACTGTTATTTCTCTTGTTGTGTATCCTTTTGAATACATAAAAGCTAAACACTAAAAATCCCAAAATAATAACACAGTCACAAGTGATGTAGCCTGTATTGCTAAATGCAGAAAACTATTTAACATATGTGGCATAATGCTTTAATGAACTCGGATAAATAGCAAGCAGATTGTATCCAGTGATGATTTTTGTTACAGTTTTATCTTGAAAGTAAAAGCACTTGCCTTATATTTGTTTTACAGAATCAAACTTTGCCAAGACTCAATACATTTACGGAAGCTTATTAGCACCATGGAGAAAAAAAAAAATATTGTTTGCATTTAAACAAGAAACTGTTGCGCATTTAAAAGATGAATTTTTTGTGTAGTAGTGACAGTGACACGTTTAAACCATGAATGCTCACTGGCAAGGTGTTCTTCTTTTTATATACAAAACATGGTAGACATGTTCCTTTCGATTAATTCTCCTGCACAAAGAGAAGTATGACGACATTCTTCCGTCGTTAAAGTCAATGCCACTTTGCATGAAACAATATTATTGCACAAGTAATGCAATATAGTAGGCAATATGGCTTACAAATTCTTGTGTTTTAACTAAGTTATGTAGTATAAACGCAAGAAAGATCTTGTTTTAATACAATGTTATCTTGAATGAACGCAAAAGGTTTCTCGTTTAAACGCAAAAATAAATTCTCTTGACGTTAACAAGCTACCATAGTTGTTGTTTTTACTGATATTAATATTATTTAACCCAAGATATTCAGCTACCTTTCCCTAATGCAATATAGGAGGCTCGTTATTTTGACATATATTTGACAGGTCACAGGAATAGCAGATTCATACTATAGTTTTCTCTCAGACACACTGTTACATTGAATTAAAATATTTGTGATTTGAATCTGGGCAGAAACACACCCAGTGGTCAGCAGTAGTCAGCATGGAGATTGTATGTTTTTCCCGTGTTGGCATGTGTTTCCTCTATGTTCTTCAATTTCTTCCCCCAGTCCAAGAACATACTGGTGGGATAATTAGCCCTGGTGTTAAGTGTGTGTCTGCCCTGCGATGGACTGCCATCCAGTCCAGGGTGTACCCTACCTTGCGCTCATTAGTTGCCAGGATAAACTCCTGCTCCCCCATGACCCTGTACTTGTGTTCTCTCAAATTGACTACTGTAAGGCTCTATTCACTGGGGTATCTAAATTACTCTGAACAAACTGCAGTATGTCCACAATTCAGCAGCCAGAATCCTGACCAGGTCTAGTGCAAGTGATCACATTACTCCTGTCCTGGAGTCCTTGCACTGGCTTCTTGTCAAATTCTGTGTGGACTTTAAAATCCTCATTGCTCACCTATAAGGCTCTGCATGGCTTGGCATCTCAGTTCCTGTCTGAACTATTATCGCCCTACTCCCCATCTCGCAACCTTCGCTCTTGTAATTCTGGTCTCCTAACTGTCCCCCAAGCCTGTCTACATTGTATGGGTGACAGGGCCTTCTCCTGTTATGGCCCCAAGCTTTGGAACTCTCTCCCCAAGGATATCAGAGAGTCACCTTCTCTAAACTCCTTCAAATCCAGACTCAAACCCTCTTCTTTAAAAGAGCCTTTAAAATTAACTGGTTCCATTCTTCACCCCTCTGCTTTTCTTAGTACCACCATCCACGGTCTCCTCTGTATATTGTAATCGTGTTTTTTCTTGTGTATTCTTTTAAGTTATTGCTGTTGACATTCTGTAAAGCGCTTTGAGAAGCCACCTTTAAAGGTGCTACTGTATATAAAACAAAGTTTATTATTATTATTATTATTAGATAAAGTGGATATAAAATGGATGGATGATCTTATGCTATTAAGCGCCACTGCTGTATAATGGACACTCTTGCTGCTGCCTCCCTGGTTCATTCCTCATGAGGGTAGGTGGTTGTGACAGTGTTGACCTTTGGCAGGATCTGTCATATCCTCAGATAAACGACAAAAATGAATCCCAATATATTAGGTATTAGACACCCTAATATCCATCTGTTTGTTTTGTCATTAGAATTTGACCGAATGCTTAAGGTGTTTTAAGTGCACATTCTCCTTAATTACCATGGGAGTCTACGGGAACTTGTTTTACAAGTTCTCCTGAAGTAATCCCCTGGGTTTGATTTGTAAATAACTTCCAGGATTCTGGGAATGCCCAACACCATCGGAGGTCATGGACTATTCAGAAGGTACAGTATATAACACAGACCATCGGCTCATCACAACACAATTTAGTTGTAGGTTTACTGCATGTGGCCATTTATGCCTGCTTCGGCGATTCGTGGAAAAACAAAAGCAAAATAAAAACATTTCATTACATACTGGGGCTTTCGCATTTAATTGAATATGGTAACATAGCGCATTCATCATTTCAGGTATCATCAGAGCGTTATAGCATATGAGGTACAGTATGTTATTCTGCAAGAAATGAATAAGAACCGTCTGTACAGTCAAGGTCCTGTCGTCTGTGTCAAATGTTCTCGCACCCTGCATACAAAGTTAACCTTGTTTAATTATATCTTACCTCACTTTTGTTCTTCCTTTTACTCCTCCTCTTCTTCTGCCTTTTCTGAAGCAGCTTGGTTTCGTATTTTGGTCGTGGATGTTCCTGAAGAAAATAACAAAAGAATATTTAGAATTCAAGGAAGGGGTACAAGCATGTCCTCTTGGGGTTACACAGGGGTACAGAGTTTCTAGCTACTCACAGCATTTCAACACATGAGAACGGACAACCGGAGTCATATTCACCACTGAAACCAGTTTACAAACGAGACAACGTCAGAACAGGTTCAAAAGCACGAAACTGTGGTACAAATAGATACTGTGAAACGAAAATGCAAAAGAAAAAGCCCAAACCTTCACCCGGTCCTTGTTGTAAAGACGGCATATTAAAAGAGAAAACAAACAGTTTAAAGTAAATCTAAAAAGCAAGACGGCATTAACAAGCTGCAAAAATATTTTGCCCCTGCCATGCTTTTGGTAAAGAAAAAAAAAAAAAGATGTTACCCTGCTGAAAAATGATCATTTGATTCTATTTCTCTGCAGTACTGTACCATTGCCAGCACTGGTTGTGCTGGGTACAACCCCCTTGAATGGCACAATTTAGAATAGGGCATCAGATCTAATCTGCATGTTACTGGGAGGTGGGTGGCAATCGGAGATTATGGTGAAATCCCCTCAGCCAATGTAGCGAGAACATGCAAACTTCACACAGACAGGTGCACCATTTACAATCAAACCCAGGACACTAGATCTCTGGGCCAGTAATGCCAACTCCCATGCCTTCATGCGGCCAGCTGACAAGCCTGTACATGAATTTTGCTGAGGTTGTTGCTCAGTGGGTTTATCTCCCTGCAACTGTGCTTTCTAATCGTTTCAGATAAAAACTGTAATGCAGGTGGAATCCAGGTGAAAACACAGGCACCCCCACAAGACTAAAAAGACACTGAGCTCCAGATATACGGGTCTTTGTATTTCCTCAGCCTTTTCTGAATTGTAAAGGTGGCAGCAGTCCTTCTGTGACAGGGTTCTGAAGTATTAAAACACATCAATCCAGGCGGTTTCTGTGTTGAGCAGCTCCCCTCAGATGCAGGTTTGTAAAAGATGATCAGCCTCGGTTGTCATTTCTTCCTTTCAGCAAAACATATCCCTCAGTCACTTACCACTCAGTCCACCTCTCATGAAATGATCTAGCCTGAAAGAGCTCTATTGAAACCACAATCTAGGTGGTTGCCTGGGCTCAGGTACGCATTCTGGATTTATTTCCTTCTACAGAGCCACAGGTCTTTCTGTTCATGCGAAGTCAGCCATGTTATTACCCACTGTCCCCTGCCTGACTGGCAAACATCAGAAAAGCACCTTTCTTGACTCTCTGTAAATTATAGCTCCAATCTATATTAGTGAATAATTGCTGAGTTTCACAGAATGAATAAATAGGATCTGGAAACAAAACAGGAAATGATATGATTTTTTCACGGCAACAGTGAGACCTTTACCGTTAACACATTAACATCAGAAAATCATGGGACAGAAATCTCCCAGAAACAACCCGAGAGCCATCTGCTTAAAACCATGGCAAAGACTGAAGCAGATTTCAGCTCGTTTACATAGTAATGCCTGCCTTTGTAACTCTACGTCTACAATACTGCACTTTGCTTTTAGTTTCTACCCCAGTGCTTCCCAAGTTCAAGGGGGCTACACAAAGCAGCTGAAAAAAATGATGCTGTAGGTAAATTAAAGGATACTGCTCTCCGTAAATTAACAAGGTTGTGTAAAACTACTGGCCAAAACCTTAGTAGTTCACATTTTCTCCAAGCAGTTATCAGCTTTGGTATACTTATTTATTTTCTGCCAGTTTTCCTGCACGACAGCGGGTTCAGGACTGCTGTACGAGTCCACCTCTAAGGTCAGTGGACTTACCTCTTCCTCTTCCAAGCCAGTCAAATCCCAGCGGTAGCTCAACCTCATCTGCCTGCGCTTCCAGTGCTCCAGAAACATGGCGGCTGCAGGAAAAAATGAGGACATGGCTAATGTCAAGGATTAACCTGCGCCGGCCGTATTGTTTGAGCCTGCTTGGCTCGGGAGCACAATGGGAGCATGGACCTGCTACCCAACACTCATCCCAAAGCTGAACAACATAATGAGGACAAAGGGTCACTGGTGGAAATTAAGATGATTACAAGGGTTTCTGGAAAACAAGTGACTCAGCCACACTGAAGAAGATTTTGGGATTAATTACTAGCATTCAAATAAATGGGATACGACAGGCAGCCTGCTGTCATTTTTATCCTCCACTTCTTGTTTTCCGAGATCCATGCAATATTTTCTCAGGTAGGCTCTTGGCATGATTGGTTTGCTCAGTGCGAATTGGATTTAGTCGGGGTTTGAGAAATTTGTTTCTTTCCTCCTGCCGTTCTGAAGCTTTGGGTTTATGACCAGATGGATAGAAAAAAAGTGGCCCTTTCCTTGACGGGACCATTTACCTCATGGTAACACGGAGGTGGCACTCTGGCTAAGGATCTCCGCCTGAGGTTGCGATGTACGGCCGCCATGTAATTTTCGTTCACAACAAGTGTAATTTGTTTCAGCTACAGTAGTCCCCACAGGTGTAGCAGGACTACTGCTGACAAAAAAAATCTCTTATACTGTAGGTCACCCTCCTGGGACCACAGATGTGAGAAATAATTCATGGAACTTTCCCCTCTGGACCATTTTGATAGAGATCTCTGCAGTGCTCACTGCAGACTCTGTAATACAAGCTGCTTTTGTCAGATATTAGACAATATGGCTGTCAGGTGTGCGAGTGACAGTGCTACCCATAACCAGGCACTGTAATACAATAACAGGCAGTTTGGAAACTGCAGACAGGGGCTGAAGAACGTCTATAGCTCAGTGCAGCAATGTCCTACGGTGAAATGTAAGAAAACAGATTAATGCTTTTTATGCTTCATGTCATTTTATATGTCAAACACCAAAACATGTTTATGTTTTGCATATTGCACAATTTAATAATAACATTACTAAAACAGAAAAACAACATACATCAGCATAAACACACTTAATTTATACCGATACAGTTACTATCTTATAATACCCTGGTATGTTTTATGTACAATATACTGTAGATCCCAACACAAAATTTTTAATTCTGGGTAAATAAATTAGGATGCAAAATCAATGAAGATATACTACCTTCAGATATGAAAAATAACGACATCATGTATTGTGCTGGGCTTCAAATGTGTGTGCAACTTTTGTTTTTTCAATGAAAAGACCAAAATGTGTGCTTATAAGATTTTTTTCCCCAATTGGTCTTAAATCATATTTTCATAGTGACCCAGCACTTAACACACAAAGCAGACCAATGTGTTTCAAACTGATCTTCAACATTCACATTCATTTGTTACAGTAAAATCTTCAACAACGTTCAACTGTGTTTGGAGCATAAAAACTGCTCCAAAGCTGAAAAAAATAATAAAAACTGAAAAAAATATGAATCCTGACACCAGCAGCTTGTACATCGTAACCCATTTCAGTCAAAAACCTTGTCCAGAAGGAAAAAAACAAAAACAATGAAAACATATTTCCTCTGCAACTTGTCCTTTTATGATTTTAATAATTGTCCTTCTCAACCTCTGCAAAACCTCAACAGTTTTGAAATTTCTAGGAAGGGAAGTCCTGCCTAGCTCAGTCTTGTAGGAGCACAAGGGTGTCTTTGAAGACCAATAAAAAAAGCAAATTTCATTCCTCACAACAGCATCTGGTACTTTCTAACTCAGTCTGGGAAATTGTGACATTTTTCACACACAAAAAAACAGAAATGTTCTTTATGTAACGTGGTGTCCATTAGTTAAATGTCTTGCAAATGAATTGTAATATTCTCTTTGTATGTATGCGATATGTTTGCCTAGTTAAAATGCTTCTCTACATTGTCTGGTTAAGGAAAATGGAGGAATTCACATAAAGTCTTTTTCCAGAGATGAGTGCCACTCAATTGTGAAAATGATTAAAAGGTCTCGTTACACACAATGATTTCAGGAATTGTCTTTGCTAACCGAGAGCTCAGCTGAAACCAGATGTCGGAGGGGTCTTGTTGCATTAGGAAAGCTGTCCAGAAAAAGCAGAAAAAAGAAGCCCTAAACACTGTCTCCATTACTCTTTGTTATAAAGCACATTTCTAAACCCAAGGAGGCAAAGCTACATTTGGCTCGGACCAACGAACTGCTCTTGGTGATATTTCTTAAACCACCAAACGTTTTCACCAGTAGCACCGCAAGACTGCAAACCCCCACATGGCCACAGGGGTCGCTGTGGTGCCAAGAGAGCCCAGGCTGACCTAATGTGTTAGACCCTATGGGGAACGGCGGTCACAGTTGGCAAGTGACGAGACCCAGGCTCAAACCCTTGGAGGAGAGCAGCCAGAATCTCCCCCCTGTTAGAGCTGCCGAAGGGCTCTTACCCCAGAGGGACATGAAGACGGAGAAAAAGACGGTGGCAGGGTTGTCGAAGAGGTGGCTGGCCCTGGCGGTGGAGCAGGCCGTGCTGAGGTGCCAGTAGTCACACGGCCCGTCACACAGTGGACACATGGTGAAGTTTTTGTCCTCGTTGCACATCTCCAGGCTGCAAGAGGAATACTGGTATGATGATGACGGTGATGATGAGGACAACGAAGATTAATGTGCTGGAATACTGATGTGGTTGATGTGCTCTGATGATATCCATCCAGGAGGCACCGTCTGTACTGCATGTGAACCGATTTGGTCATGGCGACACCCAACCTTTTTGGGGTACAGGACAATTAATTAATCCTAAAGATGCCTCAATTGGACATGCATACCAACCACGAGAAGGGGCGGTGATGTCTGGCTGCCCTGCGCTGATGTCAGTCATGAGTTGTATCCTTCTGAATCGCCCCTGCAGATCTATTCAACTGGGGTGCTTTATCCTGGACATTTACCTCTATACCCTCGCAATCCCAATGGCCTCTTCCTTTCCCCTTGTAGCTGGTCAAGGCTTTTTAGATCAGCAGTGACTAATGCATGTTTTTTTCGTTATTGATACCCCAGTGTCAGAGGTGTAGTAACATGAATGTGAAAGTGCAGAGCTGAAAACCATTCTACCCTACAAGGTGTACTGCAAGTCTACAAGGGACCAAGATGAGTTTTTCATGTTTGCTTAATTGAAATAAAGAAATAAATTCAGAAATATAATGAACTAAATTTAATATTTAAATAAAGATGCAATAGTGGACACAAGACCTTTCAGTGAATGCAATGCTTTTCAGTATATAATTGCTCAGGTCTCCCACACTAGGCGTGGAATGTTCTAGCATTACCACGGCAACTGGCAAAGCCCCTGCACACCTGTCTACCAGCTGGTTGCCATAACTACACGGCAGGCAGGAAGTCTGTTCCACATGAGGTAGGCATGGTCGATAATTGATCACAGGTGGAACAGACTTCCTACCTCAGGGCGTAGTCAGGGCAACCGTCTGCTTGACGTACAGAGGCTAAAATACAAGTGAGTAGTGGCTTTGCTGGATGCTGTGGTAATGCTAGAATGCTCTCCAGCAGGGGAGACCATGATAATTGTCAGACATTTATGACAATTATCAGGGCTTCAGAGTGGTGTCTTTCAAAAACAGTCATAAGGATCATGGCTGAGTTGCAAGTTGCCATTTCTCCCCATTAATCATAGTTCGCATTAATAACATAGTGCTGAATCCATCTATCCTTCTTTAAATGCATTCATGTTTGCGTTATACGATACTTGCCTTTATATGATTTGGAGCCATTTAAAATATTTATTTTCCTCCTGACCATGTTAACTTGACATTAACTCGGGAGTATTCTTACATTTTCCTCACTTGCTTGTTTGAAGTTTTTCCTCACTGCTGTCTTTGGAAATCACAATTAATGACATTCTAGAACATTATTATCTGAAACATTCAAAGCTTGAATTACCCCACATCAAAAGGACCAAATGTTTTGTTTTCTTTTCACATCAATACATTCATCGGTAGACCCATCTCAATTTTGCAGACATTCAAAGATTTCAAGATAAACATTATAAAGCCATTAGATATTATATTAGCCATTATTGAGAGACTCTACCATCTATGGTTTAAGCTGCGGTGTTGAAGGCTGTTTCTGTTAAGTATAAATTTGGTTTATCCTCACTTTACACCTCTGCATAACCTTTGAAATTCAACCCAAACCTGTGCACAAGATTAACATGAATTAAAAGTTCGGTGACTAAGACATAATGGTGTAAACATTTTCACATTTTTTTTTTTTACTGTAGACACTACAGGACTGTATATTTATTTGTTTGCTCCAGCCATGCAGTCCTTTACCTCCACATGTGTATTTCTAATCATATCTGCTCATATCCCAGTTATGTACCCATCTGATTTAGCTTCAGGCAAGACTTCTACTAAAAGCTGGAGTTTAGCATGTAGCCTGCGGGCTCCTGTACACTATTCAAGAAAAACAGATTATCAAATTCTACTGATGCCCAGATAAAGTCAGAAACATTGGATTACCTGGGTATGTCCGTGTCCACAGTGGCACAGCCATAGAAGAACACTATGATTCCCACTAGAGAGGCAGGAATGAGGAGCTGAGTATAGACCCCCAGCCATGCGAAATACAGGCCAATCTTCTCCCCAAAATACTTCCTACAAGATGGAAGCAGAGATACACTCACATTTTAAATTCACCAGATACCTTTCACCACTTTTAAATATAATCGAACATGTCCATGTGCACTATAATTTAAGTAAATCACTTAAATTGTATATAAAACCATTGAAACCACCCATCCATCTTTTTTTAATAAAAAAAAAAACACTTTCATGCACATTTTAATTGTTATCATTTTAGCATGATAACAATTACAACCATCCTTTCATTCTCAAACAGCTTCCTCTATTTCAGGGTCGCATAGGATCCTCAACATGATTTTAGAAGACACCAGTCAATCAAAAGGCAGACAGAGACACACCCACACCACGACCAATATTCCCAGAAGCCAATTAGCTTAGCAGTGTAGTTCTGAACCCATATTAACACAAAACAACTCACACCACTATGATCCAGAACTGAACCCAGGATCCCTGCTCCATAAGGCAGCAATGTCCTTTATGCTTTACACCAAACTAGTCTAAATTAACCAAATCTGAGAATTTCTCTTATCCCTTAGCCCACCAATAAGATAATCAATCAATTAAGATATACAGACTGTAAAGTCCTTAATGACCTCTAGTGTTAGGTCAGCTGCAACTACAGTCCTCACTGCTTCTGGCCTGCCACAATTGTATGATCATATCATGAAATATAATCAAGGCCAAGAAACATCTACCAAATCTGGGGAATTTTTTTCCTACTTTGAAAAAGACTTTCCAATCAAACAGGCACACAAAATTGGCAATCAATATCAGCGAAAAAAACTTCTTGATGTTGTTCAAATAATTGTTTTTCAAAGAGATGTAGGACAAAATACTTTCAAATCAGTAATTGGCTATTTTACAAGGTATTTTTTAGGATAAAGCAACAAGATGCAATCTTTTTCACTTTAGGAGTACAGTAAGTCTTTTTAATGGAATTTAAAAACTTTTGATATGTACCTTATAAGATCAACTGGCTGGTACTTGTAAAAAGCTCCATATCTGGCCCATTCCTGATGTAAAATCTAAAAACAGTAATAGAAAAGAATATTAAATATTGAGCAAGAGTTACTAAAATAGTATGTACAGCATGTACAGTGACTATAAATCATATTCACCTCCCGTGGACTCACATTTTATCGTGTTACAATATGTACATAATGTATCTAATCAGGCGTTTTTGTCATTGCCTGACAAAACACTCCTTCTCAGGGCTGACAACATCCAAGATCAGCCTCAACTGTCAATACTTCAAAATCACTCCTGATGTTATTTCATCACAGGATCATTATAAATGCTGTACAGAATCCCCTTCTCTCACTCAGACATGTTTTTGTATCCCACTTCCACCCCATCTGCACCTCTGCAGCTGCCCCTTGGTCACTCCCCTGTCCACAGAGGGGTCCCAGCCTCCTCGTCCTGTGGCCAGGAGGTGGGCCCTCAACCGTGAGGCTTCAGCTAAACTCACGGAGACTAAAACACTCTGTACACCTTTTCAACGTGCTTGATTCTTGGGTGTTGTCATTCCTGGTGCAATAATGTGCTTCAAAAGGGCCTACAGTATGTCTGGTACTTCATCTTTGTTTTAATAGAAGAAATGCCTGGTTTAGCCCTGGCAGTAACATCCACTCTGAGCTTTTCCATTATAACAATCTCATAACCAAGAGATCTTTGCACACAATTTGCACAGAAAACATATTACAGTCGCCTGGACAACTGATCCATAGCTTTATCCACCCATCCATCCATTTTCCATCCACTTTTTTTCCCGCAGGGGAGCCAAAGTCTATCCCAGCAGCAACAGACATAAGGCAGGAAACATCCTGGACCAGATACCAGTCCACCGCAGGGCACACACTCGCACAAGGGACATTTTTCCCAGAAGCCAATTAACCTGTTAGCATGTCTTTGGACTGTAGGAAGAAAACCAGAGGACCCAGAAGAAACCCATGTGAACATGGGAAGAACATACAAACTCCACATGATTGCTTCTGCTGTGTGTATTTTACATATGAAACTCTCCTGAGAACCTCACAATTGGCAGGAATTAACTCCACATTACCTGTCTCTCGTTCTTTTCTTCCGTGTTCTCAAACGTGCCCTGTGAAGCCAACACAAGTATTATTTTAGGAGATGTCGCCTTGCTTAATATTTAATTTCAGATCTTTGCATAATGCAAAAAGTCATTTCAAATGTAGATTACTTTAAACAATAATATCAGACCTGAGCACAGCAGCCCCAATCTCTGATACTCCCACCATTATGCTTGATGGTCAGGAGGTTCTGCTTTTTGCAAAAAGGCGTCGTTTGGTTTTCACCACACAAACTATTTCTCATTGTGGTCAAAAAGTTCAGCTTTGTCCAGAGGACATTCTTCTGGTAGTCTTATTGTCCAGGTGCTCTTTGTTGAACTTGATACAGGTTGCAATGTTCTTTTTACAGAGCAATGGTTTCTTCCTGCCTGTCAAGTCTCCTACTGATGGTTGAGGACTGAACCATTATGGTTTGCAGTGAGAGAGTTTTGTATAGCTTTGGAAACGTTTTGTGGAAGCCAGTAAACACTTTAGCTGTGATGATACTCATAACGAGGGAGACAGGAAGGTCAGTTAAAAGCTCAAAGAGGAAATTACACTTATTTTGATGGCTTTGGTTTTCTTTCATGGTGGAAATAAAGAGCAGTTTACCCGACGGCTGTGTGCGTTTTGGCTTTCTTGAATCCAGCCTATTAAAAGATGTCATGTGGTGAGTCATACCTCACTGGGTCAAGCAGTCAGCTGCTAAAACTGTAGATCGTGGTGAAATGTGAATCCTATTGATTTGTCAGCTACTCTTCTCAGCGTCGTGAAATCCCACACAACTATGGGAGCAACTCTTTGTTGCCGATACTACTGTAGCAACAATAGAACACTTGCCCTTGTTTACATCCTTGTCCAGTCTCTATGACTAAATAATCCCATTGGAACAGACTTAAAACAAGTTGTAAAGTAAATGTAAAATGACATCAGTTCAGCTGCTTTTAAAGCTTCAATAGTGTACACACATTATGTGAAAGGCATGGTGAATCAGAGATTCTCAAAAATTACTGTACTTTGCATGATTGGAAACAAATGTGTGATTGTGAAATGCTGTGGTGTTACTTTGCATTCATAAATTGCCTTATTTAACACTGCATTTTGATCCATTTTGCACAGCACATCACAACCCTGGTCTGGGAGGACCTCTGCGTTTTCTGGTTGTGGTCCAGCCGAGTTCTTAATCGCAAGCTAATCACTTTCAGTTTTCTATCCGAGACTTATTTTTACATTTACAGTACCTTTAATTTTTTTTAAAGCTGAGGGGGGATTTGAAATTCATATCAAACATGTACCGAATTTCTGATGCTCAAATCTACCGGAAGTCAAAGGTGTTTGCTGAAATTTACCCAGCTGGACCTCCGCAGAAGGAAAGCACACTTTTACCACTGGTGGTGAACGTGACCCTGCTCAGCAAGAAGGTGTCAGGTCACAGCCGATCATGAGACTCCAGGTGCTTCACAAGTGCTAAGCTGTAGATGATTTGCCAGCAGCTGTGTAATGTCTGAGCTTTTTGTTCAAGTTTTTCTGCGTCACCTTTTGTGCCACTTCTTCAATTTCCAAATAAACTCCAGCCAAACCCTTAAAACGTCTATTGGTAATGGTGGTCATACCTGTTCAGCATGAATGGACCACCTAATAATATTTATTGCTATTATTTATTCTAATATTAGATAGTAAAAGGGGATCAAACCCTTAAAACAGATTAAAGGCGAGACTGCATAAACCAAACAACGTTTGATAGCAAGGACACTAGGAGTGCAAAGCAAGTCTTAACAAGCCAGGAGATCAATTAAAGGTCTCAATTAGTGCCAGCGATTACCAGCTCAGCTGGAATGAAAAACTAGCTGCAGCAGCAGCAGGCATCTCCCAGGGACAGAGCTGGGATCTGCTGATTCAGCATGCTGGGCCCGATGGGTAAAATCCATGCAAAGCTCCACCTTTTCATGTGAAACGCTCCAAACCGTACCATTCTCGTGGACGTTTCCCTTATTCTTTCTACAACATACTATATTGGGTTATTAAGTATCTTAATAAATGAGAGTTGCATTTGGACTCCGAGATTTATTTTCCGGGGCAGCCATTTTAAATTTTTAAAAACTGTGGTTCTTGTAAGGTCTAAGCAGAAGACAAATTCGACATCGACTTACGTCATGCAGGGGGAAAGCAGAGTCATAGACACCGTTTGCTATCAAAGTGGTAATACCTAAAACAAATGAAGAGAACAGGCAGACAGATAATGCTGGAAGGAAAATGAAAGGTAAACAACAGTAGTCCTGATTTACAGCCCACACACAAGAGTTGGTATACTGATAAAGAATCTTAAACACATTTAAATACTTTGGCCTGCAAAGTTTAGAAACACCATTGGTTTAAACTATCTTATAAGGTCATGTCTTACAAAGGGTTCCAGAAACACATTTAAGGTGTTGAAAACCTGTCATATTCATTTAGGAGCTGCATAATAAAGAATGAACCATGTGAGCCCAGCTGGACGAGATTGAAAGTTATCAGCCATGCCGACGGGTACCTACAGTACACAACACATGTTCAGCATTGCCTTTAGAGCATTGCCATAGCATCGAGAAAGCAGATTGCATAAGGCTGGGCGTTTCGCTCTCCAACTCTGAAGCTCATTAGAGAAGAGAGCACAGCCTCCCTTGCACTGGGGCCCCTGGGGGGGTTATTAATTCCAGGTAGTTCTTGGCAACCCCTCCCCTTTCTCGAGAAGCTTACCCGTACTCTGACATGTCCTGATGCAGGAGGTGCGCTTCAGTATTTCATACACCTGAAAACAAAAAAAAAAACACACACCATGAAGCCAGTTCCCAGAACGCGGTCCCTGGTGTCAGACAGCAATTACTGCAAAGGCTTTCGTTTCTATGTCCAACCAACACTTCACTATACTGTATTACGTGCTTTACAGGTCATATTTTCCCCGGATACAATTCAATTAAAATTCGAACCTTCTGATTCAGATCTAGCTCGGAATCAGCAGACAATTTTAAGAATGACGAGATCGCCGATTACTGCATAAACCCACTCGGCAAGTGGGTGTCAAGTCACACTCCGTCACGAGACTCTGGGTGCTTCACAAGCGCTAAGTTGTGAATGATTTTGCTAGCACCTGTGTAATGACGTCAGAGTGGGTTTGCTCCCGTTTTTCTGTGTCACCTTTCTATGTTCCATGTGTCCTAGTGCCAAATAAACTCCAGCCAAACCTATAAAAAGTCTGTTGATTTAAATTGCCTTCGGAACATAAGCAGGGTTACAAATGAAAGGAGGCCAATCAAACCCATCCACCTCATCTGGTAGTAGCTAATTTACCCAAGGATAAATGCAGGATCTTTTATACCAATACTATTAAGAACAGAACATTGTCTTTCCACTGGCTGTGGTATTAGTGACTACCTGAGTAAAAAACTCATGTAGTGTATCAACTACTCCCCTTTCATTTTCTAGGGATTTCCCCCATTTTATCCCCAGTACTTGATCTGTAATATTTTATTCCTGTTGTAATACTCAAAGAACCTTCTGTTCAGTGCTTCATTATGCTCCAGTTCTGTTATACCAGGAAGAGATGTTCATGAACCTCCAGCAGTCTTTTCCGGAAAGGCAAAAGGGTTTATATATTTACCAGCTGAATGGTTTTTGAGAAGCAATAGCGTATGAAGTAGATAAAGTGATGATTTGTGAACATGTGTAGCAGACAATGAGCAGCCCGCAGTACAGAATAAATACAACATCTCATCTCAGAAGCAGAGTATTACATACTGTAGCACTGCACATACAGTAATTACTGTACTTCAGTCATGTTTGAAACTACAGGTTCCCTGTGCCGGTGAAGTCTACCATATCTCAGGTATATTGGAAGGTAAGAGTGTGCTTGAAAAGACCTTATGCTCTTCTTGATACGCGTTTAATACATTGATATTCTATATAAAAAAAGTTTCAAAGAGGTGCCAATTAAGCAGTGCAGCATCATCTATTACCAAATAATGATTTCGGTCTCCGAGATCTACAGTAAGTGGGAGCATTGTTTTATTGGAGTGATAAAAAGATAAAATATTGAATTACATTATAGCTGGAAAGAAACAATAAGTAGGTTACATGAGGATTTCCTCTCAATTACAAGATAATTGTTTTGTTGCAACTTTATGATAACAGATCATAGAACAAAAGAAGAGTATCAAGCATTGTAAAACACTGGAAACATGAAGTCATTTCCAAGTCCATTAAAACAGTTAACTGCTGTGGATTATAATGATTTACAGTATATGGCAGTTACCGAGTCCTCTGGTTTTATCGTTTTGATTAGCTTATGTCAATAGTGCCATGATGATTTTAAAAAATGCTTTGTACCTAAACATGGTACCATACGTTATGGTATCAATATCATAAAGTCATGTACTGTATGACAGAATCTGTAGTAAGATTGAGCACTGAAATAAGTGATGGATAAGAAAAGCCTACAAACACTCTTAGTTGGGTGTTCACTGCATTTAGAAATAATCATAAGAAGCTCACTTGATTAAAAAATGTTTTTAAAAAACAGGATAGTGCAAGTTACCCCTTTCTGTAATTGGCGAGTGCAGCAATTATTTTGCTGCATTACACTTCCCAGCAGTACAACATAGTGTATCCAGACTGGGGTTTCATAGGACTGAGGACTCTTTAGGTTGAAGGGGCTCAACAAGTAGGAAAATCCTACAGGAACACGGACATTCCTGAGAAACAGAAGTGGAGAAGCGTTGATTTAATGTAGTAACAAAATCCCATACAAAAATAATCACTGGAAAAAAGATCGTGGTACTTTACATGTGTTGCCTTTAGTCAGACACCACATTTCAACTGCCGTCTCCGAGATCTGCAGACCTGCCAGTTCTTAATTCACCGTACCAAAAGAGTCCCAGGAAATAACATATCCAAAACGGTCTTGTCTTACACCATAAGATCAGTTGTGCACTTCTGCCATGGAGCAAGCAGCTGGAGATCTACCAGGAATATTAAATATCCCCTGAAACTTCACGATTTGCAGTTGCCTAAAAATTGTTTTTTCCATAAAGTACAGTATAGGCATCCCTCAATTTGCGAAAGGCTAGCTGCTCCATGAAAACTGAATTCCAATAAGATTGCATGCATATTCCTCCAATTGGTTTCTGAATCCAAGAAATATCGCACAGTAATATTCTAAATTACTTTTGTGTAGTATCAAAGCATTACAATGACAACAGCTTTACTTTTAATGTGAATTAAAGACAATTAAAGCTTAGTTAACCTAACTGAACACTTTCCATATGATAAATCATATTTACTGTACATTGTCCAGTAGTTATGGTATTTAAAAGCACAAACAAAACGTCCTAAACAAGCAATATTCATTATATAAATGTTTAATAAAACTTTACTTGTTAATGTAAAAAAAAAAAGAATACAGTAGATTAAAGTAAATTATATTAAATTCATAACACGAACATCATGGAAGATGCAGGGAAGCCTGTATTTTGAAAAGTACAGTAAAGAGTATTTTGAAAGCGACTTGTTACAAAAACCTCTCTCTCAGGGGTTAGGACACAAACATGCAGAGAGCTTTTGAGGGAGTGAACCAGCAGCCAGGAGTTGTGTAGTACTCCTAAACTGTAAGTTGCTTGTCACTTACTATTCGACTTCGTGTTGCATTGTCGAAGAATGTCTCCTTCTCGCTGATGTTGTACCTGTGCAAATGAAAAGCACATATAAGACAGGAGCCAACTGCTGAAATAATTTGCCACAAGAACCAGAAGGTTGTGGGTTCAAATTCCAGGTGGGAATGTTGTTGTACCCAAGTGGAAGGAGCGATCTGAATGAAGGCCCATTACTGTGTAAAGCGGAGCTAGTTTGGACACGGTGATGTCATCGCCCTCCCTGCGCGTAGCAGGGACCTCAGCCACCTGGGCTGAGGGAGGTCCCCTTTAGCTCATGCGGCTGGCTCCCTGTTGCGTTACACCGGAGACCCGGCTTCGCACACCAGGTGTTGCGGGACGAACCGGCGGGGGTGGAGAGGCAAGGGCACAAGCCCTCGCGGTTGTTGTGCACTATTGTATAGTATAAAAGGGGAACTGCAGCCCCAATTCTAAGAACAGTTATTAAACCTCGGCAACAAAAAAAAATGAATTGACATGATCCAAACAAAGCACAGAATCGTGAACTCGGTAAAAGTACAGGCTAGACGTCATAGTCGCAAACTGCTGGTCTCAACACGGGCAAGAGTGAGAGTTTGCGACAATTGTGATGGGATGAGGCCCTTTCTGCTTCCTTTTTAAAAAAATGGAATCGCCACTAAATTCTTGAAATCAAATGTTCTGAAATGAAACAGAAAGCCGTTTCAGACTTTATGAGCCAATTAACATGGAATATGCAGAGATCGAAAATGTCTTGGTCCATGTTTCGTGTGTAACATTGCCATTTAAATTTACTGATTTTAATCGAAGTGACTTACATTTGTACCCGTTAAAGGGGAACTGTAATGCTTTTTTCATATTATTTGGGTGTTCGAAATAAGCAGTATTGATGAGTGCATTTCAAGCCATAATTAAAGTAAAATGTACACAATAATGTGTAAAACCTCCAATTTACATCACAGAATAGATTCAACTTCCAGGTCTGTGCAGCACCATATTCTGCGACTCAGAATGAGGCAACAAGACTTCCGGTGAGGTGAAGCAGCCCTGTGACACTGTAGACAAGCAGGCTTTTGAATCCAGCTCTTTTAATCCAATAGAAATAGAAATATTGCTCATGACTTTGAGATGGTTTTGCCAATAAACACTACTTTTTTGTGATCTGTATGCAGATCACGTGGGAACATTCCTGCACTGAAATGTCTTCTGCACAACCTGGATGAGTGAGTGAATAAGTACATCACAGTACATCAGTCAGTACAGAGACTAATGAGCAGGAACAATTCATTGGGATCCAAATGCGAGTTTGTGAAGACGTGGCAACTTATAGTATATTTTTTCTAGAACATCAAATAATTTCTTTTGTTGAAAAAAAAAATTTAATATCCAGTTCGGTGAAATGGGGACGGAAGTTCCCCTTTAATGGCATTCTTAAGGCACACTTTTCCCCCAACATCCTGTTTGCTGGTGACCGTGAAGGCTGGTGACGCAGACTTTGTTTGCATCTGCACATACTGTAGTGTGCTGTGTGTACTATTGTGACTCCACACTTGCTGTACAGCAGAAGGGAAACACCAGAGGTATGAACGTACCTAATTGTTTCCCATTTATATTAAACGCAGGAGGAAAAAACATTGAAAAACTGACATTCAGTAGAGATTCTCAAGTATTTATCATTCTGGAATATAAGGGATTTGATGGACCCATCAATACTCCATCAGGGTGTAGAGTAAAAATCCACCGGAGACCTCTTTGTCGAGCAGAAGAGGAGTTTATTATATATTCAGCCGAAGAGAAGCACAAGAAAAGTTACAGCTGACCTTCTATACACTTACTTGATAAGGAAGACATACAGCTTAAGTCTCAAAAGTAACTTCAATTGTACTTGATTTCTATGGGTTAAGCAAACTTCTACAACAACTGATCATAAGATGCCTGCAATCATAAGATGTCTATGTAACCGAGCTATGTCAGTGTTTTCTAAAAGCAGGTACTGTTACAGTCTTCTACACAAAGACAATTCTTTGGAACTCCTTAAACAAGAAAAATCCCTCAGTCTTGCACATCTGAATGATTCACTTAGTAGCAGAGTGGTTCACTTTTTAGCACCTAGGTTTATATAGAGAGATTTAACTATGTTTTTGTATTTGCTGCACAAGGCAGGTATCTCTCTATTTTTGCACGTTAGGCATTATATAGGATTCAGCTACTTGATAGTAGTCTAGGTTTTTTGGGGTTGATTAGGGCGTAGGCCTTTGAGACACCTTGTTTGTAAATAGTGTAACTTGTATGTTTATGTTATGTGTTGTATAAGCAGTGTTGTGTCTTTTTAAATAAATATTTGTTTAATCCAGTGTACCTAATTTATTACTCTTTTCACCACACCTATGCCCGAGAACAAAGAACTCGGGTACCTCTAATTACACTAACTGCTCTTGAATATTCTTGGCAAAACCTTTACATTTTGGGGGTTATGATTAATTGATTTCATTATTAATTAACCCCCTCAGCCTATTGCTGGTATTCTCTATTTGTGGCATATATTCCATGTAGACAAGGGATGACTTAATGGTCAACCCATTAACCAGGTTGGCTGTTGCCTTCAGCGATGCACCAACTCCGGCACGTGCATCATGTCCCTTCACACTTGTTTCTACAAGAATGTAGATACAGGTATAGAATACAAGAATTACTTGTATTTTCAAGAACTCACTTCACAGCTGTATCTTTTTTTCTTACATCACAGTAACAGCTTAGAAATATTGTTTCAGTAGATTGATGTAGTCTACAGTATCACACCAGGGCCAGTCCAGCACACACACAAACAGAGACACAGAGACACACCAGGCTGGGATTTGAACCCAGGGCCCCAGCACTGCAAGGCAGCAATGCTGACCACTGTGCCACCACACTTCTCAGTATAGTATACATGAACACCAAGAAAAGGCAAGAAGAGCACTGGCAATGGATGACTGTCCACGGCAATACTCACAGATGCAGCTTCTCCCGTGAGAATGAATGCGAGATGTACTTGGTCTTTGTGTTGCTCTGAAGATGTGGCACTTTGGGCTGTAAAGGCTTGGTGATCGTGTCCCAGGCGGAGTTCAATGTCGCCATAACCCCACCTTCTTCCTTCACTTCATAAACCTAAGAAAAGAAAGCAGCTGTGGTCACTCCTAGAACACTGGGATTACACACCTCCATTCTCCTTAGTAAGTGCTCGGGATTCAAAAGGCAGATAATGTTAAGATTAGAGCAGCTGAATCACTGGAGTGGCTGCTTCCATCTAGACACCTAGAAATATGGCAGACAAGCAGTGCAGCCCTGATTGCTTCATTTTTTAATTAACTGTAGAATAGGACCAAATCAATACTCAAACACATCTTAGTCCTGGGCCATACACTCAAACCAAAATGCTTTCAGCTCTGAAAAAAGCATAACAGGACACCTAGAGCACAGTTCATTAAGAGCCCCTTTCAAGTTCAAGTTTTTTGTCATTACACTCATATACAGGTACTGTATATGGTATAACGAAATGCTATTTAGCTAGCTCTCAGACGATAAGTAGTACAAAAAAAACAACAATGCAAAGAAAACAACAGGCATTAAGGATAGAAAAATATGGGGAGTGATCTTTTTGACATGTGAGGTAGAGGTAGATTTCAATGTGTGTTTGAGTTTTTGGTAAGAAAGAAGGCACTGTGAGGTCCAGATCGTAGGTCAGAGAGGCTGTGAGTTTAACAGTTTGAGAGTGCGGGGGTAAAAACCGTCTCTGAGTCTGGTAGCCCGGACCCGAATGCTCCGGTACCATTTTCCAGATGGTAGAGGGTCAAAGTCTGTAGCTGGGGTGTGTGTGGGGTCTTTGATGATGCTTAGAGCTTTCCTTCAGTACCGTCTGTCATAAATGTCCTGTTTCAATTAGTTGAAAGCAAAAGATGAACATGAACGGAACGGAGGGAGAAAAATTACCCAACAGCTCACACGACTCCATTTGGTATTCAGGAACGGGAATGGTTTTAGAGTCGCTGTGCAGAACTCGAAACCGTTTCAGCACGAGAAGAAAGGGTAACAGAGGAAAACGCACCTTCTTGGTGGGCACCTTGATCTTAAGGAATTCTGCTTCGCGGCTCAGAACCAACCAGGGCGCGTGGAGTCGGACAAAACCTATGCCTTGGATTTTATTCTGTGAAAGCAAAGCAAAACAAACATTGTGCATACATTTCAGACCTTAAAACATGGAAGTGCTTAGAAGCTATGAAGTAATAAGGGTTGTGGAAGACCGAGTCAAAAAGTCCAGACAGTTCGCCGTCGTCTTCACAAGACCACTGGCTTAGGTGCAAACTAAAGCCTGCGATTCCTCACACCCATTCAACCAGAGAGAATTGAAACAGATTGTAGGATGGGAAATGGCATCTTCCGGTCCTGTTTGTTTGACTTCTGACACTGCCCCTTTCCCTGTATGTTCCTTTGATATATTAAAGTCTTGCCTACTTTTAATATATAAAAAGGAAAGTGTAACTTCAGTCTAGTGAGCATGTCTTGAGTACTAGGGGAAACCTTTCCTCTGCGATATGCTCCCTTTCAACTGATTGAATTAAAGATCTCTGTTGACCATCTCCTAACCTGAGTGACAGGGTCTAAATAACACATTTTTTATTTCAGGTGCAGGTTTATGCGAAGCCAAAAAACAGCATATTGATGAGCAACGTGATGTGCATTTGGGGTAACCAAGGCAAAGAAAAACAAATTAATGGCATACCTCTAGCAAAAGCAAGGTACCTGCAAAAATACTGTCCACATTTAGTCATCATTTATATCACTTCTACAAAGATGGCAACATACTGTATCATTCTGCTTGACTCAAGGTTTTCTTAACACAGTCTGGGCATACTTTCTCATGCGCTTTTTTAAGGTAAAACTGTTTCCATAATACAGTATGTTTTGTCAGGATTTCCTGGCAATTTTCATTATACCGATAAGCAAAGTGAAACAATTGGTTGAGCACTGGGAGATGCAAGATGTACCTGTACCTATTTTGCCGTGTCGCAGGTGTGACGTTGGCCACTAACAACCGTGTGACAGCACAACATGTTTTTCCAAACTGAAGTACACCTTCGACAGTGTTCTGCTACACACTGTTATTTAATCTTGCATATCTCAGAACAGTGAAGTCATTGTTTTGTTTTCCCCAGCACAAAAAGCCTCGAAGATGCAGGTCTCCATCTGCTTTCTTTAAACTGGAGGGAATTCCGTTTCCACTAACTTCAAACAGATGTACTTTATCAAACCAAGCAGCACACCTTATTTGAAAACGGGTATCCTAGAGTATTTTAAAATGTCCTCTTATAAGGAACTAAAAAACAGAATTTAAGATGAAAGAGATCACTTCATAGGCCTAATTAATATTACAGAACATCTTTTGTTTTTTCTCGTGTTGTATCAGGTGCCAGGTGTGGTAAAGGTTTAAGTGCCCTTGGGAATTCATATTTTCCAGGAAAGCAGAGCAGGTTTTCTCCCCATGGATGGTTGCCAAAACCACAGTTGCTTGGAGACTCAAGTGACCTGCCCAGAATGATTCAGTGCATCTGTGTGATGGAAGGCCGGGCAGTTGTTTTGTGGTGTACTGTACATATTAATTGTAATGCACTGTCTCAAATCACATTGGCAAACAAAAACAATTAGCATGCAATAAGGAAGAACATTTACCAGCCAACTTACTGCAGTAACAAACAACAAAGATATTTTCCCAGGGCCTAACAGCTTGGGTGTATGACTCGGAGAGCTACAGAGGCCTCTTCAACGGGTGGCTGGTACTGTATTTCTCTATCATGTGTCATAGTTTAGATGAAGATAAGTTTCACCACTTTCTCCAGAAACGGCCTCAGTATAAACCATCTGGATTTCCGTCAGCAAGAAATTTGGCCAGTC